ATCCGGCTTCATCCGAGACCCACATAGGCCCTTGTTTGTCTTCTGCGTACATATTCAACGATCATGTCTTGTGGCAAATTAAAAAAAAAATTCGTGATATAAAAATAAAATGTATTTTCAGTACAGATATTGCGACATTTTGTTTCAGTTTTCGTCAACTGAAAGGACACTTAAAGAGATTAGGTTTGAAAAGAAGACAACCATTGGACTTCGGCCAGATTGAAGCAGCGATACAGGTACAGTATACATTCTTTCTTTATCTATTTAAAAGCTTAAGATGGCAGTAAGAGTCTTGTCGGATACACAAGTTACTGCAAACTATACTGTTTCTTGGGAATAAATTAATTAGTTAATAAAGAATAGCGTGAACATTTTACAAGAAGACTGTATCCTGTAAAACTTTGAATAAAATAAGCATCAACATTTCTTTGAGTTCTTCTTTTTTCGTTAAAGTGGTGTTAATTGCTATTTTGAATGCACAAATTAAAAACAACGGCAAAAATCCTTACTGTAAACCATAAGCGGTCTGGTTAAGCTTATAGAATTATCAAATATCAGTTAGTTGTACCCATGCTGGAAATTTCATCTGGCATGGAGGATGCCAGATAAGTCGCCTGTCATACAACAACATATTTCGGATTGAAACATCCGTCACTCGGGAAACTGCCGATAGGCGGTAATTCGGCAAGCCTTATTACTTCCAAATGAGCGGTGTCCCTTCGGGACGGATATTTCAATCCGAACCGCAAACATATCTCAGATATTTTTTTCTTGCATATTCTGCCATATTATTTCATGTTTAAAATGGTTTATCTCAATAAGATATTTGTTATTTGTTGTTATTTTATTCCCAAGAAACAGTATAGTTTGCAGTAACTTGTGTATCCGACAAGACTCTTACTGTCATCTTAAGCTTTTTAATAGATAAAGAAAGAATGTATACTGTACATGTATCGCTGCTTCAATCTGGCCGAAGTCCAATGGTTGTCTTCTTTTCAAACCTAATCTCTTTAAGTGTCCTTTCAGTTGACGAAAACTGAAACAAAATGTCGCAATATCTGTACTGAAAATACATTTTATTTTCATATCACGAATTTTTTTTTTTAATTTGCCACAAGACATGATCGTTGAATATGTACGCAGAAGACAAACAAGGGCCTATGTGGGTCTCGGATGAAGCCTGACGTTGACTTTAAACTTTGTTATCATTAATTGAATATAAGTATTGAAAATGTATTGTTTATACATTTTGATCAATGTATCATGAAAATCATGAATATCTTCAGGCGATAGCTGTTTGTTTGTTTTTTTCTTTTTTCATTTCTCATGATAATTATTTATTTTCCTCTTACAAATACCTTAAAAATAATATCATGTCATGTGTTTAAATTAACAAATATTCACCACTGTTATGTAAACTCATGTGTTATATTATATGTAACTTGAGTTAATGTTCTGTACTTTTCTGATAATGTACTACATTTATGTACAAATCAAAGTAAAATAACGTTTTTTTCTGTTCTGTTATGTTATTTAATTGATTACAGAGGCAAATCTGAGAATTCAATCATAATCTATAACAATAAAATCTAAAAGTAATTGTAATTAAGTAAATTACTGATCAATCCCCAGGTCTGACACTGGAACCTATGCTCGGATTATAGCGCCGAATTAAAAAAAATTGCAAAAAATTTCCAATCGGACCAGGTCAAGGGCAAACATTTCTCACTTTAAGGCATACACATTCTAATAGTCTCGGGAAATAGAATTATCTTATCTATATGTATGAGCTCTTGATGCATAATTTTCTGGCTCAGTATTTTCTTTAATTTTCCTTTTATTTTCATTTTGTTTTATAATTTACTTTCTAATACCTGAACGTATTGTGAATTTTCATTCATCCATATCCAAGCAAGAATAATTGAAAAAAAAAAACACTTGACAGCTATACCAAAAGACAATTTTGTACCGTTCTAATTATTTTGTATGTTGTAATTGAGGTTGTACACCGTGGTGGTTGTGGTGATAGTTTTCACTTCCGATCATGACAGTAAGCCACATTGAATTCACAAGAGCACAGTTCAACCACCGCATTTTCCTGGGCAGGCTGTCAAGCAGTTTACCAGTACTAGTTGCCTTCACTTTCGCAAGGAACTGAAACTTCTGCAGAGCAGAGACCAGTGTCAATGACCGTAGAAAGGATTTCATGATCAATCACAACGAAAGTGACCTGCTACCGTCGGGGGAATCCAACCCGATCGCCCGATTCACAGTCCAACGCTGTACCTGTTGAGCTAACACCACACTTCAGTGAAATTATATATATTTATATAATAATGCTTTAATATAAAACAAGTTTCAAACATCGAGAATATGTAAAATATGTACTGCAAATATTTATACATATTATATGTAATCATTAAAATATATGCATTCATTTCTTATTGAAAAATTTGACTTAGACTTTACTGAAAATAAATTTTTATTACCTCCCTTTATTTACATGAAATGTTAAATTCGGTAACATCTTTACAAATAATGCTTTTTGGAACTTATCTTAATTTGAGCATCATATTTATGATATAAAACCTTAAAAAATTTGTGTTATAGATATCTAAACAAGATGAATTAAGCACAGTGCATAAAGGTTTTATAATGATTGAATCTTAATACACAACACTTATTAAATAGTCTGTGCTGAGATCAAATCCCGTTTTAAGCCTCACTATATTTAAAATGTCTCGATACGTATAGCCTCTCACATAATACATAGTTATGCATTCATCCATTGTTGATAAAGATGTACAATGCGCATGTCCACCGGAAGGCGATGGCACGATGGTGAAAACGCGATGGTACGATGGTGAAAACGCGATGGTACGATGGTGAAATCGCGATGGTACGATGGTGAAATCGCGATGGTACGATGGTGAAATCGCGATGGCACGATGGTGAAAACACGATAGCGCGATGGTGCGATGGTACGATGGTGAAAACGCGATGGTACGATGGTGAAATCACGATGTAACATCGCGTTTTCACCATCGTACTATCGCGCCATCGCGATTTCACCATCGTACCATCGTGATTTCACCATCGAACCATCGTGTTTTCACCATCGTACCATCGTGCCATCGCGTTTTCACCATCGTACCATCGTGCATCGCGGGTACAGAATAAATAAAATGTCACGATTGTCCAAACGTGTCCAAACGGAACACCGTACCAATGAGACCATTATATGCATCATAGAGAGAAATAAGGTGTTAACTCCTGCCCAAATAAATGATCACATCTACTGACTGAAAAGGTTTCGCAATTCGAACTGGTACCTACGATGTTCCGTTTTCTCCATCGTACCATCGTGATTTCACCATCGTACCATCGCGTTTTCACCATCGTACCATCGCAATTTCACCATCGTACCATCGTGTTTTCACCATCGTGCCATCGCGCTTTCACCATCGTGCCATCGCGATTTCACCATCGTACCATCGCAATTTCACCATCGTACCATCGCGTTTTCACCATCGTACCATCGTGATTTCACCATCGTACCATCGCGTACTACGGTGTTCCGTTTGGACAGTCGTGATTTTTAATTTAGTCTGTTACCGCGATGCACGATGGTACGATGGTGAAAACGCGATGGCACGATGGTACGATGGTGAAAACGCGATGGAACGATGGTGAAATCGCGATGGTACGATGGTGAAATCGCGATGGCACGATGGTGAAAGCGCGATGGCACGATGGTGAAAACACGATAGCGCGATGGTACGATGGTGAAAACGCGATGGTACGATGGTGAAATCACGATGGTACGATGGTGAAAACGCGATGTAACATCGTGTTTTCACCATCGTACTATCGCGCCATCGCGATTTCAACATCGTACCACCGTGATTTCACCATCGTACCATCGCGTACTACGGTGTTCCGTTTGGACAGTCGTGATTTTTAATTTAGTCTGTTACCGCGATGCACGATGGTACGATGGTGAAAACGCGATGGCACGATGGTACGATGGTGAAAACGCGATGGAACGATGGTGAAATCGCGATGGTACGATGGTGAAATCGCGATGGCACGATGGTGAAAGCGCGATGGCACGATGGTGAAAACACGATAGCGCGATGGTACGATGGTGAAAACGCGATGGTACGATGGTGAAATCACGATGGTACGATGGTGAAAACGCGATGTAACATCGTGTTTTCACCATCGTACTATCGCGCCATCGCGATTTCAACATCGTACCACCGTGATTTCACCATCGTACCATCGCGTTTTCACCATCGTACCATCGTGCATCGCGGGTACAGAATAAATTAAATATCACGATTGTCCAAACGTGTCCAAACGGAACACCGTAGGTACCTGACACGTATTCGATAAACAAAGCCGACGTGCAAGAGCATTCTTCAGTTTTTCACAAAATATTGAATGATATTTTAGCCAAATAATTGTGGTCCTTTTTTCAATTTTGTATATCAATGAAATACTCAAAACCAGTGAAATATAAATTGCATAATAATACATATTAATATTCATCAAATAATAGGAAATATATCGTTTTATACTTTTTTTTCCCTTTTAATTTAGGATAGCTTTACTCAAAGGAGGCTATATAATTCTTCACAGATAAATGAAAGTTGGCTCGTATGACTATATATGTTAAGCTTCGGGCTAAGTAAAGAATTTTCTTATATGGGGTTGTGAAAAAAAGTTGGCTCATATGGGACGGAGCTTTATTAACTTGGTCACTATGCATACTAAAGTTAAGGGTCTTAAAGTGTCCAGCCTTATATTACCCGCTAGCTTCTTCATACAAAATATAGAGTAAACTTTAAAGTACAAAAAACTTGTTACTTTGGGTTGGAGATGTTTCATCTAATTTGAGGGAACAGAAAAACTGATTTTCAATGGAACACATTAAAGTTAATATAAAAAATTATTACAAGACAGTCGATTTAAAGGTTTTAATTGCATTGTTTTAGCTGAATTTGGTTTGTGACGATGCCATTAAGGTTCCAAACGCTCAAATGATATTTTTCTTCGGTGTGCTTTCTGGATCACTTGTCTATGGTCAACTGTCTGATATGTAAGTAAATGTCAACTTATATCATACATACCTGCACATTTATTACTTCGCTTTTCATTAGATAATCGTGACGTGAATATAATTTATAAAAAAATATACACGACTGTCAATATTGTTTTACTTCAAATAAAGTATCGGTAACTCTGCTGTATCATAATTCTTTATAAAGATGACTGATATGTATGGTGGCTGATTTACGCCATGTCGTATTTTCACTTTGTTGCCTCTTCGTGTTTTCGCTTTTTCGCATTTTCGAGGCAACAAAGCGAAAATACGACAGAAGAAGGGCGAAAATACGACACATAAAATCTGTCGTATATTCGCATTCCATCTGTCGTATTTTCGCTTTTTCGCATTGTTACATTTTCGTGTTTTCGTATTGTTACATTTTCACATTGTTACATTTTCGCTTTTTCGCATTGTTACAAGTCAATAGATCAAGAAGCTCGATCGAGAAGAAATAATTTAATATTCAGAGGTTTTGCCGAAAATAGGGAAGAAAATTGCATCAGAATCATAGGCGAGTTTCTTGAGCGTAGATTAGACATTGAATATAACGACATATATATAGCACGTGCACATAGGCTCGGGGCTCGTGGATTAGGTATCAACAAACGACCATATGCTGATGTTATATGGAAATTGCTCTATGGCTGAAAAGGATATGCTTGACAAGATCCAAATCGAATGTGCTCGTATTGTATCGGGAGCAACCAAACTGGTCTCTCTCGATAAACTTCAACAGGAAGTGAATTGGTCATCCCTAGAAGAGAGACGACGCGTTCACATGTTTATAATGTTCTATAAGATGATAAATGGTCTTGCACCAGAATATCTAACAAATCTCGTTCCCCCAAATATTGGATCAACGTCTTCGTACAACCTTCGAAACCCAGATCAGTTGAGACCTGTACATTCCCGAACTAACCAGTATTACAATTCTTTCTTACCCGTGACAGTTCGCGGTTGGAATAACCTATCAACAGATGTAAGAAATTCACCCACTTTAAAAGTTTTTAAAAGTAAAGTTATGCCAGTCCGTGATAGTACTTCTGCTTATTTTTACAGCGGATCACGAATATCACAGGTCTTACATGCTAGACTTCGCATGTATTGTAGCAAACTAAATCATCACCTTTTCACTCGTAATATAGTCTAATCTCCCCTTTGCCATTGTGGACAACCTGAAAACAACTATCACTATCTTCTCGAATGTCACTTTTATAGTTGCCACCGTACATGCCTTCTTACAAAAACGCGTCAAATCACTCAAAATGTTTCTCTTCATACTCTTCTGTTTGGGGATGTTTCTCTTTCTCAATCAGACAATACGGAGTTATTTATGGCCGTCCAAAAATACATAATGGATAGTGGGAGATTTGCATGACGAGTAAATGTTGCAAAGTACTGTCTACGACTTAACAATTACACTGGTAAACATTTAAAAAATAATCATAGTCTTTATACTGTCCGTATGCTAAAAAATCACTTGTCTCTTCATCTCTAAACGTTGGTTTTCATCTAAATATTCCTTCTTCTTTTTCTTTATTTTTTTTCTATTAATATATTATATTAAAATATCTATCAATTACAAATAATGCAAGAGCCTTACCACATAACCTAGTTTTGTGTATTTTTTTCAAAAATATTTTGTATACAATCAATAGAAGCGGTTGTGGTATACATTTTTATATGCTCTTTACTTGCTCATAGATCTACCAGCCATGTATTAGTTTTATTGTAATTTATCAATAATGGAGATTGACTTTAATAAGCACCTAGTGCTTCCGTCAAAATCCAAATGCGTGTATTATGTTAGTATGGTTATGAAACTGAATGTATGTATAATGTATGATTAAAATATATGCAATAAATATGTTTAAACCAACAAACGACCAATTATAGCCAATTTCAGAGATTACGGAGATGTAAATCACATAATGAGTCGAGTGAGCAGGTTAAAAGATGTTCCCTGTGTGTCTATTGACTTTGATTTCCCAAAAGAAGTACAGGACGCGAGAACGCGACTATGGCCGAAATTTAAGCAATACAGTTCACTCAACTGGCACTCAAAAGTAAGAATAGTCTACCCTGCTAAACTTATTGTAGATGGTCGTGTTTTGCACGATGAGTTTCCAGAATGGAATGCATGTGTTTGCGGTAAAAGGCTCCAAATGATTGACAACATCGAGCAACAACCTGACAGACGACAATCTACGACTTTTCAAAACCGGTTGAACGTGCAAGGACAGAATGCGTTACCAATGCCAGACTACAGAGCAGAACAAAACAGCTCTATGAATACTGTTATGCAAAATAATAATTCTCTGACAAATGTTCGCTTTGTCCTTCCCCTGTGTTTGTCCCCATTCTCCCGCACATGCAGGCTATAAACTCAAGTCAAAATGTCAATATGACACCATGTGTGCCTTAACAATATTCAAACCGTCTTAATACTCAAATGCCACCTTCTACTGCATACGATATGAATTCATCTGAACGCATTTCTCAAACTCCTGTGTTACATCATGATAATTCAATAGGCACCATGAAACCTCAAAATAATGCTATATAGTGAACATACCCCCTCCCTCAATAATGCATATGCTCCTTCAAAACTCTACAACAGTGAATATGTCTCCTCCAGCATCAGTGAACATGTCTCCTCCAGCATCAGTGAATATGCCCCCTCCAGCATCAGTGAACATGCCCCCTCCAGCATCAGTGAACATGTCTCCTCCAGCATCAGTGAATATGTCTCCTCCAGCATCAGTGAACATGTCTCCTCCAGCATCAATGAACATGTCTCCTCCAGCATCAGTGAATATGCCCCCTCCAGCATCAGTGAACATGTCTCCTCCAGCATCAATGAACATGTCTCCTCCAGCATCAGTGAATATGTCTCCTCCAGCATCAGTGAACATGTCTCCTCCAGCATCAGTGAACATGTCTCCTCCAGCATCAATGAACATGTCTCCTCCAGCATCAGTGAATATGTCTCCTCCAGCATCAGTGAACATGTCTCCTCCAGCATCAGTGAATATGTCTCCTCCAGCATCAGTGAACATGTCTCCTCCAGCATCAATGAACATGTCTCCTCCAGCATCAATGAACATGTCTCCTCCAGCATCAGTGAATATGTCTCCTCCAGCATCAGTGAACATGTCTCCTCCAGCATCAGTGAATATGTCTCCTCCAGCATCAGTGAACATGCGTCCTCCAGCATCAGTGAACATGTCTCCTCCAGCATCAGTGAACATGTCTCCTCCAGCATCAATGAACATGTCTCCTCCAGCATCAGTGAATATGTCTCCTCCAGCATCAGTGAACATGTCTCCTCCAGCATCAGTGAATATGCCCCCTCCAGCATCAGTGAATATGTCTCCTCCAGCATCAGTGAACATGTCTCCTCCAGCATCAATGAACATGTCTCCTCCAGCATCAATGAACATGTCTCCTCCAGCATCAGTGAATATGCCCCCTCCAGCATCAGTGAACATGTCTCCTCCAGCATCAGTGAACATGTCTCCTCCAGCATCAGTGAATATGTCTCCTCCAGCATCAGTGAACATGTCTCCTCCAGCATCAGTGAACATGTCTCCTCCAGCATCAATGAACATGTCTCCTCCAGCATCAATGAACATGTCTCCTCCAGCATCAATGAACATGTCTCCTCCAGCATCAATGAACATGTCTCCTCCAGCATCAATGAACATGTCTCCTCCAGCATCAGTGAATATGTCTCCTCCAGCATCAGTGAACATGCCCCTCCAGCATCAGTGAACATGTCTCCTCCAGCATCAGTGAATATGCCCCCTCCAGCATCAGTGAACATGCGTCCTCCAGCATCAGTGAACATGTCTCCTCCAGCATCAGTGAATATGCCCCCTCCAGCATCAGTGAACATGCGTCCTCCAGCATCAGTGAACATGTCTCCTCCAGCATCAGTGAATATGCCCCCTCCAGCATCAGTGAACATGCGTCCTCCAGCATCAGTGAACATGCGTCCTCCAGCATCCGTGAACATGCGTCCTCCAGCATCAGTGAACATGCGTCCTCCAGCATCAGTGAACATGCGTCCTCCAGCATCAGTGAACATGCGTCCTCCAGCATCAGTGAATATGCGTCCTCCAGCATCAGTGAATATGCGTCCTCCAGCATCAGTGAACATGTCTCCTCCAGCATCAGTGAACATGCCCCCTCCAGCATCAGTGAACATGCGTCCTGCACCTCAAAACTCTGCAACAATGAATATGCCCCCTCCCGCGACAGTGACTATGCCCTTACAAAATATTGCAAACGTGACACTGTCCCAGTGTGAAAATCAAATATTTGATGAGTCAGTGGAAAATAGAACACAGTATTTCTAGCAATGGAAATGTGCAGCAATTACCTTATAAATTTAGTATATGTGAAAATTCCAGTACTAATACCTGTATAACTTATCCACTAGCACAAATACACAAATCACTGAGACAACTATAACTAAGTCAAATCCTACAAATAACACAGGAGCGGACAAAGGAGTGGCACATGTTTCACGTGCGCGGGCGAACAAAATCATCAAAGCCTTATGAGCAGAGAACGAAATCCCCAGTTACTAAAAATAGACTACAGCACGATGTTGATCTATTGAACCCCAATGTTGACAAAGAGGACAACGTGGAGAAGGTTTATTTGCGATGTGCTTCGTTAGTGACAACAAGAACTAACAAACTTAAAAGTGACTATTTTAAACGTGTTTTTGTAATAATGATTTTATAATGTTTACTGAGACCTGGAGATTTAAATGTTGACGGGTTTGGTTATTTTATTCTACACAGAAAAATAACTAAAGTTCTAGTAAACGTAATTCGGGAGGGATTGTTATTTATATTAAAAATGAATTGATTTCGGATGACCCTTTATTGATGATGTTATATGGGTTAAAATTTCAGGGGGAAAATTATCACTTGAAAAAGATGTTTCCTTGTGCTTATGTTATGTTCTACCGGATGACA